CCCCCCCCCGCTCCGTCCTTTTTATATGGGAGTCCCCCCTACCCAAGATTACGATCAGCATTTAAGCTGTGAAATGAGAATAGACATAACATCAAAACGAACCACAGACAAGCGGGAATCTTGTATTAATAAGGACATCCCTGCGCAGCTAAATAGACACCCTTGATTAATAATTTTACGTGTAAATCAAGGAAAGACTGATATTACAAATGGAGTTCTGGAATATCTAATAGTCAAGGTAGATCAACGACTCTCATTCTGTGATTACAGTTGGGAAGAATTGTTTCATTGTCGACTCATTTTCAAAGAAGTGCTTAGTATCCACATGATAAATCTAACAGTTGTTGAAGTAGTTCGACAGTTATCACCAGACATTGAGTGATAAAGACAGAAGTCTGCATTATTACTGTTATCGAAGGTAACCGTTGCATGTTATCCTGATAAAGAGATCGGAGAGAAAAACCCAATATGACAGTTGTTATCTAATTAAACTTATAAAACATTATCCCTTCCAGTGTTTTCAATGTTACAAAATTGCAATTCGTCTCACTTTCAGTTACTTCACGAACTGTGAAGTATGGTAGTTATTTATGATGCTAGCTGTTTTTTTAGGTTGTTGTTGTTTATACCGAACCTAGTCTGCGAGCAAGCTCTCTTGGCAGTTCTTAGACCCCGTACTCAAAGAAACGCTTGTTCTCTAGCCCGACGTTCGAGCTCCATGACATATATAAGATCCATGATTTCTCCGAGTAAAATTTGGCAGCTGTATATGCGCTATTTATATATTGAGGTCTTGATCTTCTACTTTTCATTCAATTTCTTCACAGACCCTCAAACATGCAGTATACCCGCATACGTTTTATAGATGGATCTCCAGCTACATTGTAACCCAGGTCTACAATTTATGGTGGCTGAAAACAGTTTCCAAGACTTAGATTTTGATGGGTTATTGTAGCCACTCTTTGTCACTTGATGCTGTAATCATGGTATCAAAAAATTGCCCAGTCATTGGTGAACACGTTGTTATCATTTTCGTGACAAAGTAGATTACTATAGCATCAGTATCACCTGCTAAAAACACCCTTAAATTACAGCTTTGACGATGTCACGCTTTTCCGATTTGTCATTGAAACAAAAAGTAACACCCACTGCTCGATTTATCCTGCCGAATTTAGTAAATATGCGAACTTTCATAAGAATCCGTTGCAAATTAATCAAAATGTGGTACCCAAAACTTGCCAAGTTTTAAAAAGAAATGTGTGCCAGGGGGCAACGCTAGCCTTCTGGCATACATTTAACGGTGCTGTTAGAAAAGATTTTACTAATAATACAAACGAAAATGTACTTAAACAAACAAAACATACTGTAACTGCATAAAAACCCAACACAAAACAGACAATAGGCGACTGAAAATTATTATACATACAGTACTAAATACTACAATAATAGACAAGTTTATTGATCGTGACCCTCACTGGTACACACGAAGGGTAAAGGAAGGTATCCATATAAAACTTCATCCAAATATTATCAATAGAGGTAGTGGAATCGAAATTCCTGAAGCATGGATACCTACAATCAGAAAGCACAACAGCCGGTCAGTCAGAATGCGGACCTATGGGGGAACAGCGTCACAAAGTCGGAATAATAATGAGGAGCGAAATACACCAATAGCAGCGACCCAAGGTGCTACAAATAGCGACACGCATCAAGTGACCTCATCGCCTAATGAAGACTAGCAGTATAGCAGTCGTAACGTCGCGATCTACATCTTAAAGTGATTCCATCGTGAGACAAACGAGTGAAAATTCATTTATCCAATAATAAAAGGTTCTCACAGGCGCGTTAAAAGATCGCAATAATTTTTAGTATGTATAACAACGGTATCGTTAACAGGCTTGTTTGCTCCTACAGACTCAAATATAAACTTAACTTATAATCTATCTTCACAGAGCAACTGGAAAATCATGCCATGTTCAGTTACAGAGCAGTGTGCTTCCTTTTTAAAATAAATTCATGTAGACCTGGGTTTCAATGACCAGCAAACTCATTTTGAAATATAAAATACTTTTACAAGTAACTAGCAACTGCTACAACATTTAACTTTAACCACTGTCTTCTTGCTAACATATGGCGAAAAGAAAGTAACACCGCATAACAGGGCTCATTTCTGCCGATTACCGTGCACTAACACGAGACATTCAATGTGAATAGTTTATTGAGGATGCGTCAGTCAGTCATCTGATGCAGAAGTATTCCGTCTAATAAGAGAATCTGTATCCTTGCAAATAAAATCAACCATTGGTTCTAATAATATTAGAACCTATGCTACTTCAGATACGAAAAATCACTAAAAAACCACACTTAGGATGGGTGGCCAAAAAATATGTGGAAAAGTGTTCCTCATTTAATGCAGCAGCACGAGACCCCGAGGAAGGAGTATAAGATCAATAAGTAAGCTGCTAAAACAAAAGCTTAAAAAACAAAAAGTGGACGAACACCAAGATGGACTAATCTAGAATGACCTAAATCTCCCGCCAAATACCTAAATAGTCCTAAAACGTCCCATGACACCCCGCGAGCCTCTCCATCGTGCCGTTAGCCTCTTCCAGGTCTTCAGTTAGCTGGGGCGCAGGGCGAAAAACAGCGCGCGAAAAAATAAAGAAGAGTGCTTCCTCTCGCCGCGCTTTTTTCATTTTTTCGCACGCTGTTTTTCGCACTGCGTGCCAACTAACTGAACGCCTGGAAGAGGCTATCGTGCCGTCAGAATAATAAGTTCTGACTAATTCGTCCCTCAATCAACAAAAATTGCAGTTTTAGTTTCCAATATTTACTGGGGTAACCGTAGTCCATAACATTTAAAAAAAAAAACAATAGTATATGCAAGAACGTTCATTTACCGGCTAATAACAAATCATCTTTTCCGATCTTTTTTTGGTACCGGCTTGGATGGCTTGGCGTGAATAAAAGGTCGTATTAACATTCAAATTCCACTTACTTTTCTCTACATTTACTTAAATTGCATCAAGAGAGAGTGATTAAAGTTATCAACCATGACATGCAATATTTTCTTTGTTGATGCTTTTCAAAATTCTCCGTACCTACAGTGACTGCATGTCAGTGACTCTTCGTCCCGAAAGAGTCTGTTCACAGCAGGAGAAAATGTCATTTTCTCTTGGTTCACAGGCTAGGATATTGGTTTTAACAAAATTTGAACAATTCAAGAATCAATGCAAAGAGACGTTTGTTACTTTTCGTAAGAATATAATAATTCAATTAAAATTCAGTAAAAAGCGGCTACTTTGATATCCATAAAAAAGCTAACCTTTAAAAAAATGCGAAAAATATCATCCCGTAAAGGTTGACAGTTTTCCATTGGTTAAAATTCATTCATTTGAATAAGTTGAAAACTCCGAAATCCATGCTTCGCTAAGGATCCTGTCTAAGTACCATACAACGGCTAAGTAGTCCATGTTGTTTTAACAAGGTACATTATTCTTTGATTTTAAGCAGCGCATTTTCAACATAGCTATTTAGTTATAATTAGCTATAGGCAAAGCTGGGGTCCGACGCCCCACTTAAGATTTAGTCGACCATACATCTACAGTAGGCGCACTTGACTTCATGTAAAATATATTTGCATGCAAATTAGACAATTGGAGTAAAAGGGGCAACCTACAGACATTCTTTCGTCTGCCTGCTCAAGAAAATGCCAGGTTTTCGAGGCTGTTACCGCCTAGTTATTCAAGTTTTGACGCTGCTGGTTAAAGTCCCTCTTTTGTGGATTTGGAACAATTTCAGGAACCAAATGGTCTTGAGAGCTGAGCATCGCGAAGCAGTACAACAAGAGGGTCAAGAAGGTAAATTGTAGAGTTCATTGAGCTCTGATCGGTCCAGCCTAGTAGCTTTTTGTGTGGCATGGTAACGGCTTGATCAAACTTGGAAATATTCGAGTAAGTCGTTGCTGACAACTACGTGAATTCAATGCGCTAACGGTTTCACTGTTCTTTCCACCCTGTATGTAACTAAATAACAAGACATTCGAAAGACATGCACTATTGTAGGTTGGGCCTAATTAAGAACAGTTCGCTCGAGGGTTTCTTCAAAGTTAAAAAGTTATTCTGCAGTGGATTGTATAAATATTTAAAAGATAAACCCGGCCTAGTATAAATGCCATTTAATGGATTTTCACAACTCGCAAATTACGTACTTAATTCAGCGAGATTAGCGATCCCAGAGAGAAAGCATTGCTGGCCGACAGCGTCCGACGATGTTAATTAATTCAACTACGACTCGCAAGATTGGAACAACAGCTGTAACACCTACCTTCTAAGAATTCAGATCCCATGATTGTTGGAAGCATGATATGAATTATACGGAAGTTAATACTTCCAACTAATAGGGTAGTCAAGAATCCCTTGATTCTCGGACGGTAAAAACTAGTATATGATATGTCTT